TTTTTGAGACAGTATCTCAGTGTGTAGTGCAGGCTGGCCTTGAACTCAATTATCTTCCTGCCTCAGCCTCCTGAGTGCTGGGATTACAGGTTTGTGTGACCACACCGGCTAGTGTTTTTTTTAAAGTGTAAACAAAGCTTAGTGATTAACATTTGTAGTAGTAATTTAAGGTAGTTACGTGGAAAATACTGTGACAAAATGTTGGTTAGGATGTCTGACTGTCTGTCTGTCTGTTTGTAGGGATGGCTGGCCGGCAGGCCTGTCTGGCTGCCTTCCTTCCTTGGAGTTGAATACAGGGCCTTTTCATTCACCTGTGTCCCCAAACCATTTTTTTGTTTTTTATTTTGACTCAGGGTCTTACTAAATTGCCCAGGTTGGATGTGAATTTGTGATGCCAGGGTCTGAGCCTTGCGGGGTGCTAGGATTTCAGGTGTGTGACATCATACCTGGCTCAGGATTCTTCTAAACATCACAAGAGGGGAAAAAGAAAAAAAATCATGAGAGACTACATTATATTTTTCAGAAAATTTGCAGCAAAGATCATCAGTATTAAATCAATATTGAACACATCAATAGTGTGTTCAATATTGATTTGTATGGTATGTTTTTGCTTTGTTTTTTTCTTTCACACAGTTTTGCTATGTAGTTCAGGATGGCCTTGAATTCACTATGTAGCCCACGCTGATGGGCGTGGTGCCAAACATCTCTAATCCTAGCACTCAAGAAGCTGAGGCAGAATGAGCCAAAGGGTTTAGGTTTAAGGCCAGCCGTACTACATGGTGAGACCCAGTCTCAAAACAAAACACAATGAAACAAAAGTTTTAAAAAGCCCCAAAAACCTTCACAATCAAAAACAAACTATGCAGCCCAAGCTGACTCAGAGCTAGTGATGGTCCTTCTTCCTTAGCCTCCAGTGTGCAGTACTTTTTGTATCTATCTGTTACTCCCCATCAGCCTCACAATATCATTTCCCAGTTTGTATGCATGTTAATTTTATATGTCAATGTATGCCTTTTTTGGGGGGGTCTTTCTATGTAGTTCAGGCTGGGCTTGGATGCACTATGTAGCTCTGGCAGCCTTGCTGCCCTGACCTCCAAGTGCTGGGATTACAGGTGTGAGCCACTACACCCTATTGATGTTCTTAGAGAGTTTCCCTGCCAGAGATACTAGAATTTCCTTAAATGTGCTTTCCTCCCTTGCTTTGTGTGTTTTGTTTTTTTTTTTTTTTTTGGGGGGAACCGGGGATTGAACTCAGGCCCTTGTGCTTGCCAGGGAAGCGCTTACTCCACTGAGCCATCTCCCCGGCCCCTGTGTGT